GATGAATCAGGTTGTACCTTTCATTTTCAGCCTTCTCTTTCCTCTCTCGGCCTTTCTTCTCTTGGCCTTTAATGAAAAAGCAAACAACTCTTTTAAGAAAACTCAATTTCCAAAGTTTTATTAGGCCCCACTCCCATAGATTTATAAAGAGACAGAGATACTACCAGTAATTTGCTGGAAACCTGAAGAAAAATGAGCTGTCTCACCGAAGAATCAGCAAATAACACGAAGACATGAAAAAAATATATAGTCCGTGCTTCTTTGGCTTGTATAGGAAGAATCAGAGAACCATGAAATTAATTTTATTTGCCATTAAGAGATACTAGACCTAGAATCCAGGATGCGATTATGTAATTATAAATTAATTTCAGTTAGCATGCTCTCATCTGAACTAAATGTCAGCAGTAGTTATGAGAAGTATGTTAATGAGCATCACAGAAGCTTGTCTGCTTGCTTGTTCTCAGGATGCCCAGGGAGCAGAGATAAAGGCTCCTGCACCAAGAGGGCCTGCTGTGGTTTTCAAGACTCCCCAATGCATGTGATCAGTTTAATAGGGAGCAACTCTCTCATGTTCCTCCTTAACTGAAAAGGAAGGGTTAGAAGGGTATTCCCAGACCACACTCAAGTGTGAAGTAAACATGATTATTGTAGCAGCTGAAATGTGAAGTTGAAGAACATTTCAATTTCAAAATGGTGTTCAAGAGCATCTGATGACACATCTATATTTTAACTCTGGTGAAGTGTGAAAATTAAATGAGTACTCCATCGGATTCTACGGATGAATTATGACCTCCCCCCTTAAATAAATTGTTTTTTTTTATAGTTAGGGTAGCATACCTCATTTGTGAAAAGACCTTTCTGGCATTCACACACTAGTTCTTATTTCTTCTAGTCATTTTGTTAGTTATATGTGTGCCGAAGAGCCCAAGCAAAGCTAAATCTAGAATTAAACTACATGGCCCTAGGGTTTAAAGTAATAATATTTGTCATCAAATTGACTGCCTCATGTTCAGCCAGTGTCAAAATCAATGGTTGATATTTGTGTTTACGCAGAAATCACGTGGAAAAAATGACGATTCTAATTTGTAATCGACCTTTTTCTCACAAATTGTTATTCCTGCCACTCTGCCCTCCAGAATGTGATGAGGGGAACTTGAGGCAGCTCAAGTTATAGAGGAAGACCCAAAAAGGAGCCATTTTTTTTGGGGGGGGGGCTTCTGTGCATGCCCAGTCTGGAGACTCACCTAAGCCTCCTCGCATGTATATATGTGCCCCATCGCTGCTTTCTCTGTGTGGAAGCTCACGAAGAAAGTTTGCCCTCCTGGTACTTCAGGTCTTGGTGACCCAAGGTCTTAATGTGTTCTCAGCAACAAGGTAGTTTGTCCTGTGAAGTAAGATTAGATTGTAAACTGTCTCTTCTAATCCTGCTAAGATTATAAAGCCCAAACAAGAAATTGCTTACAGTAAAGTGTCCTGGTTTGCTTTAGAACATTCTAGGGCCTGCAGCCAGGATTCAGGCAGGTTTCCACAGAAGGAAATAGTGACATTTCAGTGATCCTGAGCCCTGCCTGCAACTCTGATTTCACATCGGGGACGCAGCCATTTTGGCCATGGCTCAGATTCTATTGTTAGCATAGGCAGTCCCCACTTCCTCAAAGCAGAACCTTCCGGAAAGCTGTGTCATGAGGTTGCTCTTATTTACCCATAAAAACAATGGGATTGTGCTCTTGACAAAGGAATGGGCCGGCCATGAATCTTAAGTATTTCTAACGCGTGAGTAAATCTGAACAGCCACACTCTAAATCTCTCATTGATAAGCCCGCTTTGGACAATAAGCCCCTGAATCAGGTACTACAAGGAACAGAAACACCCAACTTAAAAGCCTTAAGTAGTAAAGACATTTTGTGTCTCAAGAACAAGAATAGGCGAGTCTACACTGGCTCAGCAGTTTCATTTCGTCTCAGGAACTAGGGCTCTTTACTTCTGCTCTTTCCTCAGCACAGTGCCTTGGACTGAGTCATGTCCCCTCAAAGTTGCAAGATGGTGGAGAAACACATGAGCCAGTGGTAGGCCTAAGAAGTGAATCATTTTCAGCATTGAGTCCCTTCCAGTGAGAGAGAAAGCCTTTCCCAGAAGCCCCAAGCAGAACCCCCCTTAAGTCCTTGTCCATGGAGCACCCGGGACATTATCCTAGACTATCCTCGTCTCCTTTATTTCCTTCATTCTCTATGACCTACCCTTTCTGGTGTTAAATAACCTGTCCCGTACCCTCTATTTCTGTGTGTACTATGTCAATTCAGATCCTCATTAACTTGACCTGTTCTCCCTGCTTCCAGTTTACCTTTTACAGTGCCATTGAACTGATCTTTAAAACACAAATCTCACTATATCACTGTCCTGCTTAAAACCCTTCAGTGGTTCCTAATCACATATGTGATTAAATTTCCATTTTTCTTCCCCTGGCTATAAGAATGACCTCTCCCCTCTTAAAAAAAACAACAACAAAAATCCTACATGGCAGCTCAACACAGCAGATGATGGATGGAGAGCTGCTGTGGCTGGAATGGGGATGGGGAGGAGGCTCAGAGCTCAGCCGGTGGATGCTTTTGCTTCCCTCTCGTGGAGACCCCAGAGCCTTTCCTTAGATCCTCTGTAGTCAAGGCAAGCGGAAGCACCTACCAGGCAGTGAATTTGGACCTCAGGAGTGTCATTCAGGCAGTTGCACAGACTGCGATGGCAATGGAAGAGAAGGTCAGGAACGTACTCTCTCACAGAATGCGGAGTGAGAAGGGAAGAGGGCCTTCTAGAAAGACAGCTCCAAGAGTTGTGGTGATGGAATGCCCCCATCATGTAATATTCAGTAGCACAATGTTTCTAGTTCATCTTTCAAACTCTGGCAATGTGCCTTAGAGGAGAAGTTATGCTCTGATTGTGTTAGGCAAGTCAGCCCAATCAGATGCTTGCAGACAAGGTGAGAATGGTTTAGAAGACCAAAATGCAACTACTATCAAAAGCTGAGAATAACGAATTGTAACTGTGTGAATAGTTCCTGTGTTTCCATTTTCATTCTTACAGTGTTTTTTGTTTTTTTTTAAAGTAAAATATTTGCAGTTGGCTTTGATAATCCCTAAGATTAGTCTTTTTTCCTTTCACAAGGATTTCCATATCAGAAATCCTGAATTGACCAACATTTCATGTGTTTCCATGTCTGATCAGGGTAGTTTGAGGTTAATGGGCTTAAGAATGGAATTACAAACCCTATATAATGAAAGCCTAAGTGGTGTCATGCGACGTTGTCGCAAGATGGCCGCTGCAACATAATCACAAGATGGCCACCATAAGATGGCCAGCAGGGCAGGGTAGTTATGGGTGATCAGGCCGACAGGGGAGGGCAGTTGGGGGTGAATAGGCCAGTAGGGGAGGGCAGTTGGGGGCAAGATCAGGCCAGCAGGGGAGGGCAGTTAGGGGTGACCAGGCCAGCATGGGAGGGCAGTTGGGGGTGACCAGGACTGCAGGACAGGGCAGTTGGGGGCGATTGGGCCGGCAGGGGAGGACAGTTGGGGGTAATTGGGCCAGCAGGGGAGAGCAGTTGGGGGCAATCAGGCTGTCAGGGAAGCAGTTAGACATCAATCAGGCTGGCAGGGGAGCAGTTAGGGGGCAATCAGGCTGGCAGACAGAAGCGGTTGGGGCAATCAGGCAGGCAGGCAGGCGAGCGGGTAGGAGCCAGCAGTCCCGGATTGTGAGAGGGATGACTGGCAGTCGGACATCCCCCAAGGGGTCCCAGATTGGAGAGGGTACAGCCTGGGCTGAGGGACACCCCCTCCTCCGTGCACAAATTTCGTGTACCAGGCCTCTAGTAGAGCTATAAGAACTGAATATGCTAATTCTCCCTGCTCTTGATAGCAACCTGTATGTATTCTTTATGTCTATTTAAGAATTCAGTCTTTTGTGTTGTTCCATGAAGACTAAAGAGCTGTTTAGATGCAGTTTACATTCTGTTATGGAATATGACTTTCTTAATGAGGAGGTTAAATATTAATGAAGACTAATTGATGAATAATTTTAACAAGCAAAGGCATTATCAGTATGAAGCAAGCACTTAAAGGGTTGTGCATTCCAGCATGTATTTGCATACGCGGTGACATTGTCAAAAGGGAGGGAGGAGGGAGGAGAGGAGTTGGACAGGGCATCGGGCAGGTAATGAGGGCAGCTCCAATTAGACCAGACTGTCCAACTCTATTTGCTTTAATTCATTCTCATTCCAAGAAGGGTTTGAAGAGAATGTGTCTTTTTGTGTCTTGTGTGGGCTCCAGGCAAGCAGGTCTTCAATCTCGTCACCTTGCCCCCTCCTCCCCCGCCAAACCCTCCCTCCTGTCTACCGAGGCCTCATTTCTGCCATCATGGTAGGTTTTTCTGCTTCTACCTTTATGGTCTGCCCCCACCACACCCTGTTTCTGACCACTAGTCTTTGCTGTCAGGCTGTGCAGGCAAATTTGTATAGGCAGCTCCCTCATGGCTCCCAGTGGCTTCATAGGATCTGGCTGCCGGCACCTGTCAATTACTGGCTCTTCCAGGCTGTCCAGCTGAGGAGCACCACCCCCCCAACTCTCCCCACTTTCAAATGGATCTTCACAGAAACTGGGCACTGGCGAGAAGCAGAAAATATGTGTCAATTGTCTGAAGCTTCAAACTGATTGTTATTCTCTCCCAATCCTTTTAAATGTGGTATGTGTTTAAATTAAGAGTAGCGGAGACAAAATGACTTGGGAAAATGATAATGTTATGCTCTCCTGTTTCAGTGACACGGTAACTTGGTTAAGAAAATTGACTGTCAGATTTGATCAGTGTTGTTGACTTGAATAGCTGTCATTCCCAGGCTGGAGTAGAATTCTCCCCCAGCAGGAGCGGTTTAATGACTGAAGGATCCAGTCACCACATGAAGCAGCCACACCTCCATGCATTGCTGACCTCCTACATTGCCTCTCTCTTCTGCTTTTCAGGTACCACGTGCTTGATTGCTCTGCTGTCAGATAAAGACCTCACGGTGGCCAACGTGGGTGACTCCCGGGGGGTCCTATGTGACAAGGACGGGAACGCCATCCCCTTGTCTCATGATCACAAGCCTTACCAACTGAAGGAAAGAAAGAGGATCAAGAGAGCAGGTGAGCTTGTGAACGCCTCCAAGCCCTGTCTGCTGTCTCGCTGGGTGGACAGGAGCCTTGCTTGGATAGCCCCTGGGGCATCAGAGGTTTAGTTACCTGCAATTAGTAGACCCCCACAGAGGCTGCCACTGAAGCAGCTGAGACTGGACTTTGTAATATTGCCCAGCAAAATAAAACAGCCACTGAATTTGCCCTTCTTTATGGCCAAGGATTCCAAAAGGGCCAAAAAAGCCCTATGCTCATTTAAAAGCTAACATCATCTTTGGACCCCTGCTTGCCATATCCCGCTTCCCTCCAGCCATGCCAGACTACTAACCTCTCCCCAAATGATCCGTGTTTCTGATACCTCATGCTTTTTTTCTTTGTTTTAAATATGTTTTTATTGATTCTAGAGAGAGAAGAAGAGGGGGGGAGAGAGAGAGAGAGAGAGAGAGAGAAACATCGATCAGCTGCCTTCCATATACCTTCTACTGGGGATCAAGCTCTCAACCCGGAATTGAACTGGTGCATAGGACGATGCTCAACCAACTGAGCCACACCGGCAATTGCTGATATCATGCCTTTGCAAATGCCATTCCCAATGTCTAGTACAGTGGTTCTCAACCTTCCTAATGCCGTGACCTTTTAATACAGTTCCTCATGTGGTGACCCCCACTTTCATTGTTACAAATTGAACATAATTAAAGCATAGTGATTAATCACAAAAACAATATGTAATTATATATAAGTTTTCCAATGGTCTTAGGCGACCCCTGTGAAAGGGTCATTCGACCACCAAAGGGGGCGTGACCCACAGGTTGAGAACCGCTGGTCTAGTGGATAGCAATTACTTGTCCTATAAGACCCAGTTTAAGGGTGTCCTTTCGGAAGCCTTCCCTGTCACACAGTACCACAGCCTCCCCGAGCTGGGTTAGGTGCGTCTTCGTTCCTTCCCCAGCATCCTCTGTGGACCTCGTGGGTCACCTTTTACAAAGTATGGTTCTCTTATCTGTCTTGCCTTCACAACTGGGAGCTCTTTGAGGCAAAAACAGTCTGTCCATTTCTCCAAGCACCTTGCTCAGTACCTGGTATAAGTAAATACTTTAGGGAGTGGGAATCCCCTTTTTATTCTTTTTTTTTTCCCCACAACTAACGGCTGGGGATATAAACTTACATTCTGGAATCAGGATGGAGATGGGGAATATAGTAGACAGCCTTCCCTTTTGGGACATCTACTGTGGTATGTCCCCTCCTGCTTTTGTGTGACAGTTTGCTGCACCCAGTTGGGCCAGATCATGTTGGTCTTTCTGTCTCCATTCTTGAGGGTGTCTCCAGCAACAGTGACACCCACCCTCTATCACAGGATCACTGGGTTGGGAACCAATCCTAGCAATTGACATACGCTTTTGCTTTCCCTACCTTATGAGGTCGATACTGTCATCCTCACTTTACCACCAAGAAAATGGAGCCTCCTGGAGGCTTGTGTACACAAGGACGCGTGGCTAGTGAATGGTGAGACCCGAACTGAGACCAGGACTGTCTGGCTCCAGAGCCCATGAGACCACACTTCCTGAAATGTTCTCAGACATCCCCAGCCCAGCTTCATGCTCACTCCGTCCTGATCATCACAACTGGAAATCATTCCTTCCTCCTCTTCTGGGGGTGCTTGTCTCTCCTGCGAGAATACTACTTTGTGCTTGTAGCTGTTGGTACACGCGGATTTTCTTTCCTGCCAGACTGTCTAGTTCTTTAGAGAAAAGACTGGATTTTGTACAACTTTATAGTCTGCAAATCGCCTTGCATGGAGTATGTGTTTAATAACTGCCTGACAAATAATATGTGAATGAACAAAGTTCTAATTACTTTAAAGAAAAATAATAATAATATATACTATTGAGTGCATGTTACATTCAGGCACTGTGCTAAGTGATGTACATGGAATAACTCCTTTCTCAGAACTCAGTGGAATAGGTACTATTATTGTCCCCATTTTGCAGCCAAGGAAACTGAGGATCAGAGAGATAGAGTTTCTCATCCAAAGTCACATATAGCTGGAAATGGGCTAGGAATAGGCACCCTGAATTGAGCTCAAGCAGCCTGACCCAAAAGCTGAGCCTTGAAACACTGTGCTAAAATACACAGGTTTTGTTTTTTTTAAAATCCTGGTCCTATTTGGGGTACTGTTTTGAGAACTATAGAGGCAAAGTGAAGGGCAGTCTCAAGCTAAAAGAGGGATTCCAGCGCTGTCTCTGGTCCCCAAACACCTGCCTTTTCCCACTCTCCTCAAATCCCCACCCCCAAAGCTTTCTACTGTCAATCACTGAGCTGTCAAGGTGTTAAGTTAAAACTGATGCCCTCATCCACACACATCTCCTACCCTCATTATTCTTATTGATATTTTCTTGAAGTCATTTAAGATACAAGGATGAGGGCAGGAGGATCTACTGGTAGAGTGTCAAACCTCAAGCCATGAGGCAGGGGTGCTGTTTCTTCCTGGCAGTGCCAGGGTGGGGTGAGGGGAGCATATGCGATATGTCACCTGCAGCAGGTCGGCCTTCTGTACACGTGCCCAGACTGTATGTACCAGGTGTGTGAGCTTTCTGTTGGTCAGGCTAATGAGCTCATTCTCTTCCCAGGTGGTTTCATCAGTTTCAATGGCTCCTGGAGGGTCCAGGGCATCCTGGCCATGTCTCGATCCCTGGGGGACTATCCACTGAAAAATCTCAACGTGGTCATCCCAGACCCAGATATCCTGACCTTCGACCTGGACAAGCTCCAGCCCGAGTTCATGATCTTGGCATCGGATGGCCTCTGGGATGCTTTCAGCAATGAAGAAGCTGTTCGGTTCATCAAGGAGCGCTTGGATGAACCTCACTTTGGGGCTAAGAGCATAGTTTTACAGTCATTTTACAGAGGCTGCCCTGACAACATAACAGTCATGGTGGTGAAGTTCAGGAATAGCAGCAAAACAGAAGAGCAGTGAGCCCTTCGGGGCTCAGCTACCGTAGACTAAAGGACTTTCAACACACTGGTCTCTTTTAATGTCGTGAAGCTGTGGAAGTTACAATTAGGATCCCCCATCCCAGATGTGGGATGCCCCCTCCCTGATGGTCTTAGGTCTGTATCCAGTGACGATGAAAAGAGGGCCGATGTTGAGAGGCTGGAAGATCGTTTTTCATGTTTCCCGATTCTTTCATCCAACGTTCAAAATGTACAAATATCTAGTCGTAGAGTCACATGTATGACGTGGATGGCGTATGTGCCATGTGTTCTCCCTTTTAAGGTTCTTTTTAAGATTTCAAGATCCCTTACAGGGCCCTCCAGGCATCAGACTTTGGAGTAGTGAGCAGGGCAGGCTGCCCAGAGCGGCAGGAGACAGGCCCCGGCGTCCCCTGCGCGTCAGGGTGGCAGTTCTCTTACTGAGGGCAGAGCTGCCCTGAGAAGGCTTTACCCTCCTGCGCCCAGGTTTTCCACTCCGCAGCAGCCCAGAAACCGATTTGGAGTGGTTTGCTGTTCCGTGGCTGCTCTTGGAAACGGAGGGAAGAAGAGACTGCAGTGGCTACACAGCAGAAGTAACCTTTTCCCTCCTCCCTTTTCCTTATGTAGACTTGTGTACTAGCCAGTCTTTGTGCTAGTCTTTGTGCGCTTATACTAATCCTGCATGACCTTAACCTTTTGCTTACACCTTACTGTATGTAATAGGCAGCTGTTAAACTTCACAACTGGAAGCCACATTTCTTTTGTCTTTTGTCACCAAGAAACCTATTAGGGGGAAGTCAGAAAAGCAAATCACAGTTATCATAATTCCTTCCATCTTTAAGGGTAGATAGGGGGCGGGGGGAATAATGGCTGAATAAGTCACAGAGCCCCCTTAGGAAGTTGCTTGTTTGCATTGGGAGAGAAAGTTGGGGAGGTTACTACCCTGAATTGAGCTCCAGCTGCCAGTTTTATGCCCTCCCCCTCTTCTCCTATCCTAGTAGCTTTCAAGTATCTTTCAAGGAATGTTCTGAGAAGCAGCAGAACTGCATGAGTATTTCTCGAAACCCAGGCCAGAGTTCCCACCCACATTTTGGAGTTTGATGGTAAATTGCGGGATGCGCTTCTCCATGACTGTGGAGAAGCAGGTAGCTTCCCCAGGCCAACCATTCAGTGACCATAAAGCAGGTTGGAAATTCAAGATTAAACCGGTATTGTAAGGCAGCCCAGAGTTATTTTGGGGTCAAGCTTGCTGCTCTCTGTTTCCTATTACCAAAGTCACATTTCCAATCTCAGTATTTTATAAGTTAATTGACAGAAAATGCTCAGGCATCCTGTTTGCCTGATGGCGGTGGCTTACACAGCCAAACAGGATTTTCCGTGCGTTCCCAACCCTATGTCTGAAATGCCAGGGTGTCCACCTGGCTCTGTTCTTTCTGAGTCGGCATTTGTCATTATAGCTTCTCAAAGGTCCCATTCGCTTTCCGCAGCTGGGGAGCTTTTCTGAAGCAGGTTCCAGAGAGAACCCAGGAGGATGAAGAGTCCCTCGTGGTCACCAAGGACTGCAGTCTGTGGATTCCTCCCAGCACTTACCTTTTTTTGACTCCAATGAGAATGAATAACAGTTTCCCAAGAGCTTTGATTACTTTCGTAAACTGTGACTTTAGAATTCCAACATTAGGATTAGAACCTTAATAATTTTTTTAGCCATAGAATGTTCTAGTACAAAATACCTACCACCATGTAGACTAGGCTCTTTGCCTAATTAAGAGGCACTGAACAGTTGGATATGTGTATTTGGGGTGGGGGTCAGGCGGGGAATGTGGGGAACACACTGACTATGGTCAGTGTGGGATTATCAGGCCAGGTGGCCCGAGTTTGCCTGAAGATTTAGGATGTTCTAACTCCAGAAAGTTACCAAAGCCCATCATCCAACTCAAGTTCAAGAATAAGCTCTTTAATTTTACGGTACACAGTCAATTTTCCTTTTTTATTTTTAACTCCAAAATTCATAATCACAAGGAAAGATGTTTTTAAATGCCATGATTATTGTTGTTGTCCAAAATTAAAATAGTATGGTTTTGGTGAAGATGAAAAAGAAAAGCTACTAAGTTAAATGAGTAAGTTAGTGTTGTTTGCTGCAGAACATCTCAGTAGGTGGTGCTGAGGGCAGGAGTGCATGACTGTCCCCCGAGCTGAGGTTCACACGGCATCTTCTACGTTTTGCTTTGTAGAATTAATTCATTTCTGACTTTAACCACGTAGTATGTGTATTTCCTATTCCCCTTTTCCCTCTCATTTTGGCTTGTAATATAGATTTTTAAAAGATAGAAATTCTAGGCAGAATAGTAGCACTTTGGTTAATACCTATGTCTACAAAATACTACAATCAGTATTTTGCTCCCTTTCCCTGTCCTGGAGCTCTCTCTCTCTCTCTGACCCTCCTCCAGCTGTTGGGGGTCTACAGACTCACCCTCTGGGTGCCCTGTGGCTCCTGGCTGCTCCCTTCTCCTAGGGACAGGGAAGGTTGTATGTAGCCACTGGGGAAACTGAGTTGAGGAGTTTGCATGTGAAGCCTCCCTAAACAGCACTGCCAGAGCTTTGGATTGTCGCCGAGGCTGCCCAGACTCCCCAGCCCGAGTTCACCTTGCCAATAGCTCCCACGGTGCCAAATCTGGGATGGTTTTTCCGTCCTTTGGAAATGAAGCTGGGAACGAATGACCACATGCCATGAGCCCCCAGCAAGATGCCAAGCCCAGGCCTCCTCCATGCACTGCTCTGCTACTTACTGCTCCACTGGCCATTCTTAAAATGGATCGGGATTGGGGGCGGGGGGTGGGGGGCGCGGGTAGGGGCGGGGGGATGTTTAGGAAGGGAAAATTTAAAAAAATCATTGTATTTGCAATTCTCTAATCAATGGAATAAATGATACTTACATAGAAAATTCCAAAGCCAGTTCCCAAGACCTGCATTTATTTAATGTGACCCATTAGCCCAACTCTGAAGTTGTAGTTCTCATGCACATATGTACACATTACTGGTTACCAGTGGCCTCTTGAATCTTGTCTATGTAATACTCTTATTTCAGGGTGTTTTATAGAGTGAAGGGGCATATGCAATCTGGATAAGTTAAAACAGGCTTTATTTCATACAACTTGAACGATGTCAACCCACGTGCATTTTGTGCAAACAGGATTGCATGAGAGTGATGACATTATCGTTTCAATCCTAAAGTAATTTTAGGAGATTGATTACACTATTGAATTGGGATATCTATATCACTGGGCTATCTGACAATACACAAGGGATTCAGAAAGGCAGTGATCATTTTTTTCTTTACCAGGCAAACCTTGATTTCCTCCCACCCCCCAAGTTGTTTTCAGATCAAACTCTTAAATCCGAATCCATGCAGAAGGTTTAGAAAGGGCAACATTTCATTGTACATTTCAAAGTATAGTAATACATACTCTGGGTAAACAGTTTCCAATGATTTCAGATTTTTTTCCCTCCTTTTGACCCATCTCTAGACTGATCTTTCCTTATTATGCCCCCCAAATTGCCTTAGCTCATCACACCAGCATTCCTGACCCAGAAATGACATGCCTGTTAGATACCACACTGGGGCCTATTTAACTGCCTCTAGATTAAATCATTGATATCTAGACTTTTGAGCTAGTTAGCTGCATACCACCGGAGTAATAGAATCTCAGTATCTCCCAAAGTGAGTTCCACAGAACTTTAAATGTCCTGCAGAAGGGAGGAAGCACACCACGGATATAATTTCAGTTAGGGTTGTGTTTTCCAGATTAATCTGACCACAGAAACTTTTTTTTGAGTAAATCTTAGTAACATTCCAAGGAGCTCATGTTCCATAGGACACACTTTGGGAAATTTTGTTAAATGGAAATATTACTGTTTTTTCATCCACTGTGCTATGACTCTTTGTAGTTGTAGTACAATTTGTAATTTAGAAGCACCAATCCTTTTGAGTAAGAGGCTGAGCTGTTCATGAAAGCAGTTTTAAGAAATTGCATCCTTTACTGTGACCATCAGCAACCTCGCATGGACAGTAGAAGCCCAACAATCCTACCTGAAGCCCCAACCATTGTCTCCCTTCTTCTATGTGATTACTCAGCAAGAGTCTTTGCCATCCAGAGTGAATCAAAATACATTTCCTCACTATGTGAGAGTAAAAAAAAATCTATAATAATAAAAGTGTAATATGCTAATTAGACTGGACGTGCTTCTGGAACGAAGCCGGGCCTGCAGCAGCCCTGAGATAGCGGCCCTGTGGCTGCAAGGGAGGCAGCCACGGCTGTGAAGGCCTACTCTTGCAGGAATTTTGTGCATCGAGCCTCTAGTTTAAAATAGTAGAAAATGAGGGGGAAATTATAAACTGTTAACACTTACTGTCCTCTGTTCTTCTTTCCAGATTCAATGAAATAATTTGAAATCACAGCTCATTTGTTCTAAAATCCCTGTCCCATGTTGTCCCACCTTTCACATTTTCTATACAGAATTAAGTTTGGTGAGTTAGCTCTTGCCTAAAATGTCAGGTTTATTGTCACTCTCGACCTGGACAATGGGTTCTGGAAACTCTGAGAGATAATCTCAAAATAACAGATGAGACAAATCTAGTCAAAAACATGGTACAGCCTAGCTGGTTTGGCTCAGTGGATAGAGCGTCAGCCTGTGGACTGAAGGGTCCCAGGTTTGATTCCAGTCAAGGGCATGTACCTTGGTTGCGGGCACATCCCCAGTAGGGGGTGTGTAGGAGGCAGCTGATCGATGTTTCTCTCTCATCTATGTTTCTAACTCTCTATTCCTCTCCCTTCCTCTCTGTAAAAAAAATCAATAAAATATATTTAAAAAAAACAACAACATGGTACAAAGTGAATTTAGGGAAAAGTCATTAACTTAAAATCACATCCAATATTTAGGAATACACCTGCCCTCTGGACGTCACCCAAAATAGTAAAGAACTGAAAATCACTTAGATCAAGAGGAAGATTACAAAGGGCAGGTGACAGTCGAGACTCTAATGCTTCCATCAGACATGTGCTTCTCCACATGTTTCTAATATGGAAAAGTTTTGATTCTTAATAATGTGGATGCTTTGTCCGTTTTTAATTTTTCCCACTGTGAAGCTGAAAACTGTTTAACCAAGGGATGATTGTGACAATTTTTATGTGTTTAGTAACAAACAAAACACCATCATCTGTACAATCACTTTAATAAATCCAAGGTGAGGACTTTGAAGAGAGCAGGTAGTAACTGTTCATTTTAACAAAGCATCACAGGCATTTTCACAATTCAAAACTCTGCCCCAAAGCAAGCAAGCAGCCAGCAAATATGTAGATTATATTTAGAGGTGTGGTTCCATTTATCCTAAAAATCCTATAATCTGGCCTCTGACATTTGCCAGATCCAAATTAATCCCTAGCTCTGAGCAAAGCAGCTTACTGTAAAGGCCTGGTAGCAGCTTGTGGCTGGGCCTGTGAGGGGGCAGGACAACCTTGCTGGGTCACTGGCTGCCTCTGTAGGAGACAGACCGTGTCATGAAGAAATTCAGAGGTTAAATGTGATACCATGCGTTAGTATCCCCACCTATTTCTAGATTAATTAGATAATGCATAATTTAAGATGTGTTGATTCAGAAGCAAAGCTAGAATAGTCAAAAAATTGGGGGTAAAAAAGCACCTTTAGAATACCCAGATAGTATAAAAATGTGAAAAGTAGGTTACCCAAAATT